TCAGCAGCGCGATGAGGTATCCCTCGCCTTCTGCCCCTTCTTCCTTTGGGATGAAGGTCGGTTCTTGGAAGGTCATGGTTGGCCCAGGAAAGTACACATCCTCCAGGCCAGCCTTTTCTTTCTTGGTCTCTCCGTTTGTCACAGATGATGTTGTTGAGCCGGTGTGGTAATGCTCGGGTCCCCATGTGTAGTGGCCCAGAGAATTGAACAACCCGCCGGCAGGCGGTCCCAACTTGGCAAAGTCATACGGTCTTGTCGGATCTACGACGGCTTGCCAGAAGTGACGGTAGGGCTTGGTTACATACCGATCGTCGATTCGTGAGAACTCCCCGTTGGTCAGCCAAACAACCGCTGGTTTGACACGCTCATCCGCCACCCAAACGTCAGAATCCCCTGCCTCAGGTTTCCGGATAGCCGACTTCTTGGCCTTGGGATCAAAGATCCATCGCGTGGTTGGCGAGCTGAGCTTGTTTCTCTTCGCAATGCTGTCCGCGGAGGGTGTGACGTTCTTGTCTGGTGGGAAGAAGAAGAAAACGTTTCCGTCGGCAACCGTCAAGTCAAAGACTATTTCTCCTGAGGCTAGCTCATAAGCGCCGGCAACATGTCCATGGAAAGCTTGACCCTGTTAGCAGTTATCCTCAGAGACTGTGAAGCTCCAGACAGCAAGCACATACCGTTGTCACCTCTAAACCAAGTAATCTCTCCAGGATCTCCAGTCCCCCTCCTCGGGACCACGGCATACCACTGATCCTCCTCCGGGTCCCACGCAAATTTATTCTTTCCCTGCTTCAGTCTCTCCAAATTCATCTTGATCGGGGTCAACGCTAAAACGAGATAATTCTCCGTCAACCCAGCATCATGAATCATACCCGCAAACGGGGCTTTATACCACCCCTCCTGCGTCTTCTTCCCATCCTTATCCACCGTCCAAACAGCCACATCAACCCCGCAATCCGCCCCGTCACCACCACACTCATAAGCAAAGCAGACCATTTCCCCCGTGTCAGGGTCAAACTTTGGATGCGCACAAAAAGTAGGGGACAGGATTTGCCCTTCAAAGTCATACCGTCCCAACGTCTCGAGTGTGTCGGGGTCCATCGCAAAAGGGGGCCCATCCTCCTTCATGGCAAGCAGCATCCCCCTCCAGAAAACGATATTGGTGTTTGACGCGGTGCGGATGACGCCCTTGACAGATTCATTGTCTGTGTAGGGGTTGCGGTACTTCCCAAACAGCGACCTCCTCGCGGCGGTCTCGTGTTTGTATCGATCGGTCTCGACATACTTTTGCTGGAAGTCGGCGTGGCCGTTGGCGATGCGGATGGCGGTTACGGAGCCGTCGCCGTTGAAATGGATGTCGTCTTCGTACAAAGGGGGAAAGCGGTGGTCAGGCTGAACGCGGTAAAACGTGCCGGAGATGTCGGGTGGGATTGTGCCGGTGACTTCGAGGTTGAAGACGGAGCCTTCGAATCTCGAGGGGGCGTTCATAGACCGGAAGGCGTCTGTTTTAGGGAAGGCGACCTTTTCTGGGGAGGTGAGCTCATTGTTGCTGTAGTTTGGGGAGGTGTCGATGTGGGGGGCGAGGTGGAAGATGTGTGCCATTTTTTCCTGAAGTGGTTTGTTTACTTTTTGCTTGTTGCGATGAGTGAGAAGAAGACTAGGGGAGGGTGGATAGAAGAAGTGTTGCTGTTCCAGATCCACTGTGCGGATCTTCAGGGGTGGGCTCAACCCCGCAAACCATCACAAAAGTGGCGACACCCTCAAATCGTCCAAATTAAACCTCCGACGGTAGATCGGATGGTTCCGAGATGCAGGTGGGGGATTGTTTCTTCCCGGCAAAGGGTGCCCGGGTAAGCTAGGTACGTGCGGGGGATCAGAAGGGGGGTAGCTTGACCCCAACTCGGCAACTGTCAGGCCTTGTCAGTGTCAGATAAACATGCACTCAAAGCGGTTGGACGGCGAGCAAGAGACAAAAGACACACCGAAGCAAAACATTTGTCAAGATGTGCTCAAATCAAAATGTCAATTGTGCAGCTAAAGCAACACCCCTCAAAACAGCCCCTGAAAGCAAGCTACTTTATTCTGCCTTGAATTGGACCAGCTCAGGCAAGACCTTCTCCCCCACCTTGGGTTCCCTCATCTCCGCCCCCTCTCTCTTCTGATCCTTCGGCAGATCCAACACCAGCGCAGGCTCACTCGTCTCCACCGGCTCCCCATACCGCGGGGCCCTGAGATCATCAGGGTTTACCCTTTTCCCAGTTACGGGATTTGGGTAATGGAAGGGGACCACCCGTGTGTCCGGCCACAAGCTCCTCTGCTCGACGAGCTCATCCGGCCCATCAGGGTTCTCAGGAAATATGGACTTCGCAAAAGGGATGTACTCTTTCTTCGTGTGGCTCCACCCCTTCTCATGCTCCGCATGCCAAAAGGGGAAGTACCGGTACCTAAACAGCTTCCACACTCCATCCTCCTTGATGTACTCGTTCTCGTAGAGACCCCCCTCCCACCACTGACGATGCCCGCGGCTGTCTATTTGTCAGTAGCTCTTCTTTAGCCGGCCTTTTGCGGTGACACTAACGGGTAATACTCCTCAATCGACTCATGTGTGCCAGCTTGCATGAGTGCACGCATCCGACACCAGGCGTGTTTCCCAGTGGAGTCGACGTCGACAATCTCTTGCATCATGAGGTGGTCCAATAGCCAGCCTTCGACTGGGCCGTTGCGGCCCTTGACAAAGGATTGCTGGAAACGGCCCTGGTAGAGGCGGGCGATGCCGGCTTTGCCGCGGTAGCGGCCGCCGAGAAACTCGACGTAGGCGTCGGGGTGGTCGGAGAACATATCAACTACCTTTTGGGGTGTTGGCAACCTTGAGGAGAGAGATGAACGAACGAGGGTGACTTACCTCGTTGTAGAGACACTTGTCGAGATAGTAGCCATATTTGAAGTGGGTTTTGCGGACTTCGGCCTCGTCTGGAGAGAACTCTGGTTAGTGTGTGGCTTTTTATCAAGACCTGACAACAAACTTGCCTGAAACCCGGCTGAGCTCCTTCTGCAGCGTTTCGACCTGCTTCTTGAGTTCCGCGAATTCTTGCTCCATGGTCAGTTAGGTTTCTCTGTGATTGGGGTCTTTGCGAGATTATTGGATGTTGGATGGTGAGTGAGGTGGATGTCATTCGAGTTATGTATCTGCATTGCAGTCCGGAGGGTCCAATCGCAACAATGGTGGATCTTAGTGAGGGGTCTCGGAGAACGGCAAGCAGTTCACACGGCTGACCCCAACTCGTCTGGCTTTGGTTGAATATCCGAATGGTACTATTGACAACGGGCTAATCGGCAGATGCAGAATGTTGGGGAATCATGGTTGGGTCAGGGCCGTGTCGTTCCATGCGGGGACGTTGGGGTAAGTGAACTCAATGCAAGCAAGCAGATTATGAAAAAAGGGGCTCAAGGGTAACCGAGGGGCATTGCAACGGCGCGAAGAACCTGGAAGCATTTCATGCTTGGACGATGCAGCTATGAGCTGCTGTATAATTGGACTCCTCCCGGGAGCGCTTTGTTACATGCTTGGCGTCCATATCTCTACGTATCATGTGTATACGTTGTCATTATTGGGCCAGTGAAACATGAGGTCTGTCCTTAGATGCGCATATGTGTTGCCCCTCAGCACACGCTGCTGCTGTTTGTTGATCTCTGCTTGGTCGAAACGTTCCGCCGCAAGTCTGAAGGCCTGTATCTGGTCTTGAAGAGTTTCGTAATGCCTGTTGATGTCCCTTGGCCATATCGCCCATCCTACCATCACGGTAGATACGGCGACTCCAACGGACGACAAAGCAACCCAGGTGGCAATCTTCGCCGGGAGAAGGGCCGCGGAGGCGGTGATAGTGGCAAGGCTAGGTAGGTTCATGTTGGCTGATATAGCACAGGAAAAAGATGGAAAGAGACATACCTTCCTGCGGCGGCAGCACCCGGGATACCAGATTGTTTCGGACGATCAGTCTCTTTCCTTACCTCCTGAACATAGGTAAGGAGTTCCTCCATCAGGTACACATCGTGAATGACCTTATCGAGACAGACCTTGAGTCCAAAGAGGTGCTCGCTGTGTTCAGATCCAGGAACAGCCGCGTCGAGAGCCGCTTCTGCTCCTAATTAGTTCCGGGATATCAAACACGCATGTTGACAATGTCGGCTTACCCAGATCTGTGGTCGGCTGGTTCAAATCCAGCCTGCTGTGGTGCTCATAGTATCCTTTCATGTAGTACTCGGCTGAGTGTCGATGAGCGTCAAAGTTCAACCATATCATTCTGCCAGTTGGGGTTACTCCGATCGACTCTGGTTGCCCTGTGGCTCCTCCTTGTTGTGATGGCAATGCAGGATTTTCTTGGCCCGATAGAAGCCAGGAGCGTTCAACAACTTCTACATGTGAGTCGGATTCCATGATTGTATGGGGTTATGGTAAAGACCGCGGTGGTTTGAGACAATGATAAGGTAACGATGATGTGAATCGTTGGAAGGAAGGCGGCTGGAGATAACATGTCAGGTACCGCTCTTCTGCATGAGCTGGGCAGGCTGTCACGTGAGCAGCTGTGTGTCCAACACGGAGTTTAGACTTGCGGCTGCGGCAAGGTCAACATTCAATTGGCCGCCGAGCTGGTGAAACAGGTCACGCCAACAACGCCGTCTCAGACCCACGCTTCAGCGCATGGTATACAGTAACACCTCACTGCACCCTGAACACTGCATGTCTCCCATCATTTTCAGCCACAGAGAAAGAAACTGTACGTACAGTTGGGCGCGGTCTCGTCCTGGCGGTTCTGGCGGTTCTCCTGTTTCGTGTTGCGCCATCTTTGACCACGATGGCCGTTCGAAGCCTGCCTCCAGTCTTCCTCTATAATGAGTGGGGACGGGACCATCAAGTACCATCGAACTCAAACCATTTTCTTCTAGTCTCTACATACTCACCTCGCTAACCTTCCAACCATACCCATAAATGCAGTCTTATCAGGATGTCTACCAGCACCGTCATCACCGACTTTCTGATGCAGGTGTGGAGGTACACTCCCAGAGGATGGAACTACAAGGACAATGAAGGGACAGCTCAATTCTTGGCGCAGAATTGCGACCTGAAGGGTTGGACAGTGCACCCTACTTCACTCACTAGCATCCACGACCAAGACAGCTTCGTTCCTCTGGAAGTAAACTTCCGGTTTAAAGGATCAGCTGTGAAAGGGGCCCGCCGCGTTTACGATCACTTGGCTGATCTCAGGGAACTTTTTGAGGCTGTGCTCCCTTCCAAGATTGAGGAATTCTTTCTTGCCAAACAACAAAACTCAACGGCACACCACATGGTGTTGGTGCCTGTCGGCAAGATTTCGCCGGAGGTCGTACACAAGAATACCCGTATCAGGATCCTGAGGTCTCTAGAAGTCCGGACGAGCACGGTTGTGGAACGAAATCTGATTACGCCAATTGATATGTAGGACCTCCTCTATACCACATCTCCTGCTGGCTTTCAATCTCAACCATGTCCAAACTAACCCGAAGACTCAATCAGGTGCAATCTTGCGTTAGAAGTTGTGCGTGGGTCTGCAATAGGTGCCGATCTAGCGACTATGGTGCGCACGCTTCCGGCCAAGTGGATGATGGGGTCATCAATGGTTCAGGAGTTTGATAAGCTCCGCAAGTCGATACAAATGAATCAGCCTGAGGTCAACGGACCACTCAAGACGGTCGAGGACGTCACCAACGCCTGGAACAAGGCGGAGCCCTGCCTTGACCTCATGTCCACCATAATCCGCCACATTGAAGACTGCTTGGACTTGAGCCGAATTCCCAAACAAAAGGGTAAGTTTCACGATGCCTCATCCATCAGAGAAATTGTATCCTGATATCATTCACAGATATCCCACCCCAGCAACTTTACGAGACGATGCTAGGGCTCCGGAATGCAACCATTTTCTTCTCTGCGTATGAGGACCAAATGTTGAGCATCGCCGCCGCAACCCCAACCATTCTAAGGCCACCGAATGGAGCCAAGACCGTGGTCGGAGCTACCGCAACAGCACTTATGGTCGCCGCTGCTTTGATGGTTTACACATTCTTCACAGGAGGCACTGGCCTTATCATTGCCGGCGGTGCGTCAGGCGCTATTCTAGGAGGCGGCGCAACAGCGGGCATCGGAGCGTGGAAACGCAACAAACATGCCTCATTGTGTGAAAGTTGTATGTGCATCCAGTAGCTAAGTTCCCTTCATCTCCGCACGCTGCCAGCATCATCCCCTTCCTCGAGATTCAGCCGTGTAATCACCAGAATGTCAGGATGTACCGACTAGTTGTATTAATGCCCATCTCAGTTAGCCGGAGCATCATTAACCTTGGCAAGGCGCTCACAGATGCCAACATTTGCTTAGCAGCAACCTACAGCTCTCAGGTTCTGCAGTTTCCTTTGCATTCGTCGCATTGTGCATCCGCTCAGCGTGACGAGATCCTTCGACAGCTAGGCGTAGATACCCGGCAGTTGAAGAGAGAAGCTTACCAGCGCCCGGCACTTGAAAAGAACCTAGAGACAGTTTTGAACATGTACAACGAATTCCTCGTCGCGAGAGCCCAAGTGCAAAAAGAAGCCCGTGTCAGAACTAGGCAAAGTCTCACCCCGAATTCTCCCGCTCAACCACCGCAGGGGCTCCAGAATCGTTCGGCTCCTAGGCCGCAAAACCCTATGCCCGTAGTATCCAAACAGCGGGCCATTGGTTCCATCTCGACGCCATCAGCACGGTTGAACCCCCGTCAGCCTCAGCCACGAGGAGCTTCGCCGGTAGCTGTCAATCAAGGCGCCCCCGGTCAGCAACGTCAGCAGCAGCAGCGAAAACAACCCGTTTCCTTGCCGGCGGCACCAAGTCAACAGGCCTCTGGTTCACAACCGCGGCCTCTGCCAATTCAATTAAAGAACGACAACCCATCTCCTCAAAGTCGACCGTCAAAGAACGCCGGCTCATCTCGTCAAAGTCAACAGTCAAAGACAGGCCCCTTGACCGGTCAAAGCCGAGTGAACCCTGCAGACCCAGCTCGATCAGCACCAAAGATGAGGAGCTCAACCACTAGGTGATTAAAATCTTGGATGTTTTTCTCTTTCTTGATTGAGTAGATACCAGCTTATAGCTGCACCATCAAGATGACGGGTTGAAAAGACAAGCTGATAAGCGCTCTTGAGGAACCGGTAGTTGGAAGAGTGGCACCGGTCTGATCTCGGGAGCAGCCCGGGCTTGTATGAGCTATCGTCGCAATTGGGTTGAACCAGGACTTTGTAACCAAGGATAAAGATATCTCGCTGATTCCACCGTCTAACAGATCGAGCTGAAGAAAGGATCGGGTGTTGTTGTGTCTGGGGCAGGGTCCGAAAGTATTTGCTCATGCCTTCTCTATGGGCAAAGACAGGCGATCTCGACTGAATCTACAAAGTAGATTATCAGTAGCGGCAGATGCCATGGGAAAGGCTGGAGGTTATCACCATATCGCAGCAACCTGGTCAGTGGACAGTCGATGGTTCTCGATACCAACTACGACATTGCAGACTGTTAGCTGCAAATAAAGACCTACCAGGGGTGCGTGAGCGCAAGGGAGGCGCCATCTTGCTGAACATGGGCGACTGTGGTGGCGGGAGGTAAATGTTCCAGATGCTTCGAGATGGGCCAGGGTTGCAAAGCGCTTCTCAAATGAAGCTGGGAGGACGGTGAGACATTTTGGGACATTTCAGGGCGTCTCAATTCTTAAACTTTCCAAAAAGACCACTGCAAGGAAGAAAGGACCGCAATCGTGGTCATTGTGGGGTACCTTCTTCACGATCCGTTCCGAGACCAATATCAGAATATGAGCCCAACAAGACGACAGCTAATGCAAATGGAACCAATCTAAATACCTACCAGGTTGGGTTGATGAAATGCTTTTGCAACACCCTCAGGATGGGAAGGAGGATCACAGATGTAAATTTCTCAGCCTCGGGCATGAGCAGGTAAATTCCAGCGATAAGTAAATTTGCACGTCTTGCCCTCTGGACACTTCAACTCTCAGGCTCATCTTCTTTTGGCCAGTGATACATCAAATCTGACTTTAGGTGTGCAAAAGTCTTTGGTCTGAGCAAAGTCTGCTGCTTGTTGATTTCGACGACATCATACTGCTCCTCCACTGCACGCCTCAATATCTGTATTCGGGCGTGTTTACTTTGGTAGTGCTTGTTGAGATCACGAGGCCATAGGGCGTAGCCGACTATCCCGGTTAATACGGCCACTCCAATAGATAACAGCGCGACCCATATAGCGATCTTCGCTGGGAAAAGCCATGCAGAAACAGCGATATTTGTGAGACTAGATGCGGATATTAGCTGGTATAATTGGAGGACAACGGCAAGGGAGCAAACTGAAATCATAATCCTACCTTCCTGCTGCCGCAATACCCGGGATGGCAAGCTGCTTCGGCGCGTTAGAGGAGCTCCTCACCTCCTGAATATAGGCGAGTATTTCTTGCATCATAAAGACGTCCCGTGCAACTCTATCAGCACAAACCCTAAGTCCAGTGAGGTGCTGGCTTTGGTGCGTTCCGGAAACAGCGGCATCAATTGCGGCATCTACATGTACAGCAGATGTGTAAGATATCGAGGTACAACCGGCCATCGGGAAGGGAAACCCACTTAGATCTTCGATCGCTCGCTGGGCTCCAGAACGTTGAGGCTCGTAGTATCTACTCAATACCATTCGGCAGAGCTACGCCGGGTTTCAAATGTTCTCCATAACGCCACCCCAGTTGGGGTGAGGCCAAGTAGCTCTGGTGATGGCGACGCGGCGTTTGACTGAGGAGAAAGCAGACTAGATCGCTCAAGTACCTCAACATCTGAGTCTGAATCGATCATGGCAATTTCGTGGTGTTTCCTAAGAGATCTTGGTGACTGATTTCGTCATGGGCGACTGCTTTTGGTGTTTGAGCTGGAAGATTTGAGCCGCGGCGAAGTCAGCCTCAAAGTGGCCAAGAACCCACGAGGTGAAACGCGGGCCGTATGTAGCAGTGTTGGGTCAGCGCTTCCTGGCAGGTTGCACAGTGAGGAAATTATTTACACAGTGCACAAAACTCTATCACAGGATCGAGCACGGCCTACAGCCATCGACGTCAACTAACTGTGTGGCCTGCCGAGAAATAGCCAGGCTCAGTATTGCTTGCTGTTTCGAACAGCACCATATTTGGACACACTGGCTGGTTGGGCCCTTGAGCTGGCTCTTCTGCACAAGTCCAGGTTCTGAGCCAGAGGCATATACCTCTCGTGACGTTCCCATCTCATGTTTTCGCGCTATCATGCTGTGCAAACATTGATCGAAAGTTATCCAGGATGTAATAGATCTTCATTTGATCACATGAGAAATGCCTGTAAGTGGCAGAAACAAGTGTAGGAACGTTGTAGAAATATTTCAGATACTTGGATACCTGATAGGTAATGATGTTGGACAGTTCTCACGCTGCTGAGAGGTTAGGTGTTGAAAGGCTGACATAACAACAACGGCTCCTCATACTGCCATTTATTCTTGAATGTTGAGATGGGGATAGCATGGACTCCTCACGCTACCAGTGGGTTGGGGTGTGGATGCTTGATCAACACTGCCGCGCATTACAGCCAGGACCTCAGTTGAATGTCTTCTTTGTATTGGGTTCTAATTTCCATTTTGTTAATCTCCATTATATCGGGATGGGTCTATCCACAACCGTTCCTAGAGAACAACATCTGTAAATTCAAGTCACCCTTTTCCCTGAAGCTTCAGGTGAGATAAATAAATGAACTCGACCAATTTAACCATGGCTCTAGTTCATTACTAAGAAATAGACACGCTCAGATAGTAAGTCTAAATTTCAGCAAGTCGCGGCTTATGATCTCATCTTTCCGATTTTCCAATTCATCGACATCCCAGCAGCAGTTGAAGAATCGGCCCGCAAGCCACTCTCTGCGTTCCTTGGCAAGCCATACCATGGCGTCGGCAGGTAACTCGGGCGTGTCCTGGAGGATGGTATGATGCTCCTCGGGCATATTCAATGCCAGTTCTGTTTTGACCGCTCCTGGGTGAATCGCAATAGCAATCAGGCCTTTGTCGTGGTACTCCTGGTCGATGAACTCGGTGAACCTTAGGGTTGCAAATTTGGTGGTCTGGTATGCTGAGGCTCCGTAGAACAGTGCGTGTGCTCCAGCAGAGGAGACGGTGATGAAAGTCTTGATGGACGACTCCAACAGCAGCGGGATAAAAGACTTCGCACAAAGATAGGTCCCCTTTATGTTGATCTCCCAAGTCTTCCACCATTCCGTCGGATCAGACTCCACAAGAGGTCTCCATTCTGGCAGGTAGCCCGCGTTGGCGATCAGGACATCCAGACTTCCTCCAAATGCCTTGGATACCTTATCCACAGCTTCAGTGACCGACTCCTCCACGGTCACATCCATGTTCAGGGTAAGGACGAGAGGTTCCTCTCGGCCTGCGGCAACAGCAGCAGCTTTGATCTCTTGCTCGGCCTGACGAAGAGAAGAGCGGGCTGCCAGAGCAATCTTGGAACATCCAGCCACGGCAAAGCGAATGCCGGTTGCCATGCCGATTCCCCTGGAGGCGCCCGTGATGAGAACCGATTTTCTAGACAAGTCCGCATCGGCCGGGGAGATTGCCGCGTACGTGTCGTGATGAGTTCCCACAAAGTCGACAACCTCCCAGACATTCGTCGTCCGAGGAGATGAGGTGGCCATGCGGTGCGAGGTTTGACCGGTACAAAGGCAGAGAACTTGCAAAGTAGGCGGGTGACGACGGCACCGGAATGCGGTATTCGTAACATCAGACAATGAATTGAAGACTGTCGATTGAGAGGTTGCCAGCTATTTAATGATTGCCACCACCCAGTTTCATGTAGATGGTTAAGTCCTTGTTAACTCCTAAGTCCGTCCTACCTAATTCGCGAGGCATTAGTCGGACTTGGGCCGTTCCCACCATCGGTCCGAGGTCGTGCACCTACCTTAGGCGTATCTCCATTGATCATTCAAAGCCGGAAGGGCAGCTACGTACCTTGCATACTTTACACCCCATTGCTGATGATGACTAAATCTTCCGCGAGCTGGGATGACGACAAGGCGTTTGGCCAAAACTACAATGGCTCTGGGCGTGGTTTGACGGCAGCATGCTTCATCCCCCCTTCCCCTTTGAAAATGACGTCAAGACGACCCGGAGACTTTGATTGGATTGCAGAACGTCACCTCGAAGGTGCTTAAAAACTAACAGGAACAGAAGAAATGAAGCTGGAAAGTTACCGCGTACTTTATCTGACTTACTCCAAACCACATATAGGTAACAGCTTTTTATAAAGGAAAAAACTGCGCCATGTCCCAGAGTCGAACTGGGCAATCTCTTACTATCTTGGAGAGGGGATAGGTAATCTGACTGTTGGAGGCGAGACGAACTCAGAACCTTCCCGGACACCATTGTCAGTCGTTAAACTGATTTCTGGACTAATTCCAAGCAGAGCGAACCACCAATTGTGCTACCCGGGCCTGTGTTTTCTTAGAGAGAGCAAACCTGCTTATGAACCAAGCAGTTGCCCCCTTGGGTACAGACCACCTTTTCGCTGTTCCCTATTAAACCCGTAGTGGGTGTCCGCTCCCACAGGCATCTCAGACCTTGCTCTATTTACCGGCACCGCAATATTCCACAAACTGCAGAAAGCCAAGATGGGCCTCTATATGCAGGTAGGCTCACATGCTAAAGCCCTCCAAGAACTGCGTCATATTACGCCAGGCATGGTCAAACACAGTTGGGCTCTTGCTTCACGTTTACCGTTCAATTCCACTCTATATCACCTCAGAACCATACTTGGCTACACACCTACTATACGTGAAATCACTGCGAAAAACAAACCCTCAGTAAACATCACAAACATACCTCCCATCTCCCTTGATCCCCTCCAACCACTCCTCTCCCTCTCTCTCCCCCCCCTGTCCCGACTTCTCCTCCCAAATCCTCCTCCAAACCTCCCCAGCACTCCTCCCAAGTCTAGCAGCACTCCCACAAGTGAAAATCCTGCCCCCCTTCTCAACCACTTCCCACATCCTATCCCGTTCTTCCCACAAAGCATCAGTGACATACCTCCCCTTCTTCCCCCCCGGCCGAGAAAAACACGGCACGACCCTGACCACCCCCCCTCTCTCCCACCTTTCCAGCTCCTCCTTGTACAAATAATCCTTTTCCTCATCCCTACACCCAAAGAAGAGGACCGCCTCGCCGAACTCCCCACCTTGCTTCATCAGCTCGGCTCGCTCTTGGAGAAGACCCCTCATGGGGGCAATCCCGCTGCCTGCCGCAACCATGGCGATTGGTTTGGAGATGTCTTTTGGGAGCTGAAACGGCAGTGTTGTGGGACGGACAAGACAAGATATCTCATCCCCTATCTTGCGGGAGGAGAGGTAGGATGAGGCGACGCCGTTGAATGTTCCGTGACTGCTCAAGGCAGGGGATTGGAACAGGTCAAACGTGATGGATGCGACGAGGCCAGACTGGAGTGTTCCCGAGGACGGGGAGAGGGGAGATGACGAAATGCTGTACACCCTCGGTGCAAGGGGAGGGAGGAGATCGATAAAGACTCCAAAAGGGAGGGCCAAGGTAGGGATAGTGCTGAGAACATCGAGGACAGAGTGCCGGTTTGTGAGCAGGTCTTCATAGGCGGAGTCCTGGGTGAGGTTGAGAAGATGGGCTTTCTCCGGGGAGGAATCTTCCGCGTGGAGGGAGAGCGTGAGGAGCTGGCGTTTGGTGATGGGTGCGGCGAGCTCGACACGTTGTCTTAAAAAGTGCTCTATTGCCATTGGTTGGGATGGTAGGAAATCCTTCTTGGAGGATTGAACTGTCATGGTGTCTGCTGGGCTGAGACTGAAACGGGCAATGGTTCGGTGAACGGATTCGGTGGAGTTGCGGCCTTGAACAACGAGGTAGTCTCCCGCTCGGTAGTGGCAGCCAGGAGGAAGACGGACGTCGACGTGGTATTTCGCTGGTCCCACCGAGGTATCAGCCAGTTGGCGAATGGCGGCAATGGTCCCAACGCCCATTTGATCACCGCCTAGAACTCTGGGAAGAGTCTTGAGGTTATGGCGTTCGATGCTCACTTCGACGCCTGCCTGTGCCTTGTGGGCTTTGCCAGCCGACACTCCTGAGAGGGCCAAGCACAGCTCTTCTTCCCAGGTTTCCCACGGTCCAACAAGGTCTTGCTTCACGTTTCCATAACCTGTTTCGACGAGGCGCTCGGCACCGAGGCTCTCAAGCGTGTAGTCAATGAGCTTAGGAATCTTGTAGAAGGTATTCACCCAATCGGAATTACCTAATGCGAAAACAGCATATTTGACGCCTGAGAGCTTGGTGCCATTGCTAGAAAGTTGCTCAAGCCACTTGACAAACTTCTTGGCGTTATCCGGAGGTCGTCCGTCGTAGGAGGGTGTGATGATGATACAGGGCCGATCCGTGGGCAGACTGTCAGTGGCAGAGTCCAGCGTCCTCACATCGTCAACCGCGAGCCCAAAGTCGGGGGCGATGCGCGAAAGCGATTGCATCAGACTCTCGGCGGTCCCCATGTTGCCGCCAAACAAAACGGTGATGGATTTTTTGGGAGTGTTGCTGTCGGTTTGTGGTGTAACGTTTTGTCTTGTCTTGGTGGCAGCCGTCTTTGGCTGGGAGCCGCCGCCAGGGATACCACTCAAGGAAGATTTTCCTGACCGCCTTTTCGCTCGTATCTTGAAGTCAATACATTTCAAAGCCATTTGACCCTGTTTTCAGGTTAGCCAGCTAATCACCTCTTTGAGTAGAAGAAAGAGAGAAAATAGACAAGCCCAAGAAGCCAGGTTGGAAAGGACAACAATACGCACTTTGAGCTCCAAAATGTAGTTGGGGTCTGCCTTTTCAACGTCAAATCTTTGTAGGACCATGGCTACATTAATGAGAATTTCTTGCTCCGCAAATCCACGTCCAATGCACGCTCGCTGACCATCGCCGAACTGAAAAGGTTGTAATGTCAGTATTGTACCGTTACCGGGAACATGGCTCCGACTCACCGGCTTCCAGGAATTAGGTGGTAACGCCTGGAAATTCCTGTCCAGCATCCTTTCCGGTTTGAACTCATCTGAATCAGCACCCCAGACGACGGGGTCTCTATGGAAATGCCTCCAGACGCCCGACACCATCTGACCCTTTCTGACAAAGTACTTTCCTCCCAAGACTGTATCCTTGACTGCAAACCTCGTGAGCAAACTGCTGGGGTGCTGGATACGTCTCGAAGTGGGTTAGTTGAAGCAATATGGGACAGAGTGTAAGGGGGGGTTTTCTTACAACGCTTCCTTGATGCACGCATCGAGGTATTTCAACTTGGGCAGCATCTCGTATGTGAGAACCTTGTCACCGACAACCTCGTCCACCTCCTGCTGGGCCTTGGCCATGGTCTCCGGGTACGTACACAAAAGGTAGTAGATAAAGCTCAAGGTTGCCGAGGTTGTCTCGTATCTAATAGAAGCTGTCAGTACATGTCTGTCAAAGGATTGGTCGATATATTGCAGACTCACCCAGCGCCTAGGAAGGTTGGGATCTGGTACTCGATATTCTCTCGCGTGAGCTTCTCTCCCGTCTCCCTATCAACGCCGTGGATCATCAGATTGAGCAGATCATTTGCCTCTGACTTTGGGTTGTCAATCCGGTCTTGGATGATCTTCTTGCACAGCTCCTTCATCTTGGCGATATTCTCCTGACGGTGCTGTTCCTCTTTGTCTGAATGACGGGATTAGCATGGGTCTGCTAGAGTTTCTCTGACGGGCCATACTTACAGTAGAACTGATTGAGGATCTCTGGCCTATTCGCTCGCCTCCCCGATTCGACAATGGCTTCCTTGAGCTGGGTCATGAAAGGGTGATGATCCGCAGTGTAGAACTCGTTGAACCGGTAACCGAAAGCACAGAGCCCAACGGTGTCGAATGCCAGTCTCGCCATGTCGTCGATGCATTCGATTTCGTGATCTGGGCCAAATCTGTCCCACTTCATCACAAGCTGCGCCGAAAGATCTTGCCTGTTGGGATGAAGAAATTAGAAAGAGGTCACCCAAAAATATCAAGCTGCACAGGAAACTTACATGTCATCAAACATCTTGCTCAACCCCAGCGATCCTTTCCGATGTTAGCCCCAACCCCATCAAAGACTTTGACAAACTCACCAAAGATCGGCACCAGCAGCCTATGAGCCTTCCACCAAGCCTTGTCCGTTGACTCGGCAGAAAACAAACCATCCCCAAACACCGGTCTCATCTCCTTGTGCAGTCGATGAGTAAACTTGCTGAACCGTTCGTCATTCGCCATCTCGTTGACCAGCTCTCGGCTACCGACAAACACCCGGGGGTAGGCCATCCCGAGGTCAAGCTGGAATATCTCTCCATACTGGTCCATCAGCTTCCAGAACGACTTGACAGGCAGGTCAGGGTCGAGATCTGGGGCGTGACCCAGCAGGCCGAAGTAATGGCCATGCTTTGGAGACGGAATTTTGAGGAGCTTGGAGTGGTCGATAATTTCCGCTTCTTCGATCTTTTGGGGGTTCTTGGGTGTGTCGAGTGCTTGGCCTGGGTACAGAGCTGGGCAGAGAGTCAGGTTGGCCTCCTTGTCGACTGCAACGGGGCAGGTTAGGATTTCGGTTGCCGCCATTGGTGTTTGGATTGCCAGAATGAACAGAAATGATTCTGTTATTCTGAAAGGCTATGATAGTTCAAGCCGCTGCTGGAAATTGGGTGCTGGAGGATATGCTAGATTCCCGTCACCGCCGAGGACCATCCTGCTGCGGTGGGTCTCTGCAGAAATAGGTAAGCAACATCACCGCAGATTCGATGGAGCCATCGAAATTCGGCGGTTGAGAGTGAAGTCTTGGCTCGGCGGTTGATTGATAAATATTTCGGGCCCTTCTGTTCGGCGTTGTGTTCGGTGATTTTGCCTCGTGCAATGCGCCGAGACAGCGCAAATGCGGCGGCAGGACAGGCCCGATAGTCTGGTTCACCCGATCTGGTTAACGGTTAACATGCTGTGGAACACCAGTTTAAAGCAAGGCGTCTGACGGCATTGTTGCAACGGGTTGTTGACATCTTGAAAGCTGATAATCTGGACAATTTAATTATCTACCCCACCCCTTTGATCCAACTTCATTCCACCTAACCAACACTCACAATCATGCCCTCGTTGAACGCAGAGCTCTCCCTCCCAAGGACACAGACGGCGATTATTGCTCAGGGACCTGGGAAACTCGCCATTCAGCACGATGTCGCAGTGCCGACGCTCGCACCCGACATGGCAATCGGTTTGTTTACCCTCGTCGCCTCCTCTCCCATACCCACCGTAATCTAACCTTGGCAGTGAAAACGGCCGCGGTGGCGATCAACCCAGCAGATGCCAAGATGCTCGATTACAGCCCAGCTCAGGGAGCTATTCATGGTTATGACTTTGCAGGCACCATTGTTGCCCTCGGGAAAGACGCTCCTGCGCATCTCTCAGTCGGGGATAGGGTCGCCGGCATGGTTTTTGGCGGCAATTCAAACGTCAAAACCATTGGGGGGTTCTCTCAATACGTGGGAGCAATGGCGGATCTTTTACTCAGACTTCCCGACGACATGAGCTTCGAGGAGGGTGCTAGCTTGGGAACCGGTGTTGCCACCGCAACGCTATCGTTGTTTGACAGACTTCGTGTACCTGCCACTCTGGACGACCTCCGCAGAGGTGAGCCAAAGCAAGGAGAATTTGTTCTTGTTGCTGGAGGCAGCACGGCGTCTGGAACCAGAGCCATTCAACTTCTGAAAAAGTAAGTTCGGTCCCCATCATCTCTTTGGAGTCTCCGCTGACCATTCCTCTTCCTTTCACTAGTGCCGGCCTCAGACCAATCGCATCATGCTCCCCTTCCAACTTTGCCCTTGTTGAACGGTTCGGTGCCGAAAAGGTCTTTGACTACCACTCCCCAACATGTGCTCAAGAGATCCGCGAGTACACCCTCAACGAGCTCGAGTATGCTCTCGACTGCGTCTCACAGGCCGACACTACCAAGCTTTGCTTCGAATCAATCGGGCGTGCTGGCGGTCGCTATGTTTCTCTTGAACCGTTCAGAGATACTGTAGCGCAGACGCGGGCTCTGACGATTGAGCCGTCGTGGGTGATGGTTCTCAGCATCTTCGGAATCAAGGTGGGTTTGGAGGGTGAATATGGACGAGAGGCAACTCCGGAGGATAGAAGGTTTGGCGCTCAGGCATTCGCTGCTGTGCAAAACTTACTGGACGGCGGTAAGATTCAAGCTCATCCAATCAAGGTGATGCCCGGTGGGTGGGAGGGGGTCATGAAGGGAGTTGATATCATCCGGAGTCAATCGTTGTCAGGTCAGAAAATGGTGTATTCCGTGGTGTGATGACGTATTGGTGGCAAGGATCTCTGTGGAACTTTGTGGGTATGATGGTATATTTAGCAGCGTTATTTCACCTTGATGTATGTATTCTTTTGGGTAAATTTTGACCTGGTGTCACCTCCAAACACCCGGCTCAAACAGGGTGCTTTTACTTGGGGCGAACCTTTACGGAGCCCCCTTGTTATCTTACCAGCGCCCCCCTCCCTATAACATAGTAGAAGACGTTTAAATTATCATCTAAGGCCTTTAAATCATCTCTTAAGGCTTACATTTTTCTTCACGCCTCTTACCTATCCTTTAAAGCCTGTTAACTCTCTTTTAGGGCCTTTGGTGTAACTTTTAAGGCCTCTTAACTATCTTTTAAAGCTCATTAAATATGCTTTACAGGGTATTCCATAAAGGCTCTCTCTTCTTCCAAAGCTCCACTGCATATCCTCGAATCACAGAGCGAATGGGATCACTTGAGTGGTGGGAGATTCATTCATCTCAACAATGCAGGGTGTCTTCCCCTTCATCAAAGGTTCTTCATTAGACTTTCTTTGGCCTTCACTGATTGAATGATGCAAGCTCCTTTTTCGTTGAAATGTCATAAAACGTCTTTATTAACTTAAACATGTCCCTTTCCTTGGAACCCTCAACCTCGCCCAGTAATTCGGCCTTCTCCACTCAATGAGCAAACACTTCTCCCCTCACCACCTCTTCGGTCTTCTTCCCCTTCATCAAGCTAAACTGGCTCCTAAACCTCTTGACCAGCAAATCAGCCACCGTCTCATCCCCGGCCGCGCCCTCTCCCTTGCCATCAATAAACGGGTTCGTGGCATCCAAGTCCCCGTGCCAGAACGTCGCACAGCTGATCCTCTCTTCCTCACCCTTGTTGATAACCCTGTGCTTCGCACTCTGGTACACGCCCCCGGACCAGCCAGCAATCATATCACCAGCGTTGATCACCAAAACATTCTCCAGCGCAGGCACAGGAATCCACTCCCCCTTGTGCTCGACCTCCAGCCCATTTCGTCCAGCCTCTTGCAGGAGAACTGTGACGCCCCCAAAATCGGTGTGGGCACCTACACCGAACTGGCCCGGCAAGGTAGACGAAAAGGGAGGATACCGAATCATCTTCATCATCACGACAGGCTTCTTGGTGAACTGGGAGAGCAGCTCCCCCGGGTGACCAAGTCCCTGGATGAGAAGCTGCCAGATCTCCCTGCCCAGACGGTTCGTCTCCTGATAGTACGACCAGACCGGGTCGCGGAACTCGGCCTCGGGGACCAGCTCAGGCGAAGGCCAAATGTTTGGGCCGTGGAACCCAGGAGGCTCAATCTTTTCGGAGGGACGGCCAATGTAGAATGCCTTTTTTTTTTCCGTGTCAACAAAGCGTGTGGAAGAAGGAGGGAGTTGGAAAGGGTGGACTGACTTCTTTGGCGTCGTGCATCTTGTCTCCAGTCCGGAAGGTATCCCCTGACCCCTCGTACCCCCGACGGCAGGGATTTTTGAGGAAGCTCATGGCCAGTTTGTCTTCCTTGGGGATTCTCATAAGAGTGCGGATCGCCTCAATCAGGGCGTGTTGGGAGGCGATGGGGATTCCATGGTTGATGACTTGGAAGAAGCCAAACTCGGCGACGGCAGCGCGGACTTGGGCAATGACTGTTGCTTTGGATGACGGGGTGGCGTCTGGGGAGAGGTAAGGGGCGAGGTCGATGAGGGGGAGGATGAGGTCGGCGGAGGGCATTGTGATGTTGGCAGCCGATTCAGTTTCAAGATTGCGGTGTTGATACTGTGGATCAAGACGGGAACGTCAGCTCGAAATCTCCTTTATGTGCTGGAAACGACGTGTTGACGATAAGGTCACCGAGACTGACTGAAGTTGCGATCGTACCACATTACTTTGCTTAATCCTCGTCTGGCTGTTGGAACTAGGTAATTCGGTGCTTTGTTACGCAAGGTGTTATCGGTGGTTTTACACTTCGGCGACATTGGCGACCCATCTATCAAGGTCAGCTAATCGATTGAGTCGGTCGGTCGGTGCGTCTTCCTCTGTTTCTGCGTGTGTTGTGTGTGTTCGTATACCGTTGCCCAAAACAAAAAAAAAGGAAAAAAGAAAACCAGAACAACAAAAGGAAAAAAACAGACCCTGCGGTCGATCACAAGGAAGTGGGAGGAAGTATCAGAGTCGACCTGATAGCCGGGCCACATAGGAGATGTGGCCACGACCGATGGGAACGCATTCTGGCTTACACATTGCCGTCCCTTGTAAGGCCTACTATTATTGCATAACCTGGAGACATGCGTTTTAGCGACCTGGAATGCCACCACTGGGCAATGCCGTGGATAACACTGCGCTCAACCATTGCCAGGAAGTAGAGACTTCATAACTGACTGCAAATGTGCTCTTACCGTAGCAACTCGTGGGTGTTGCTTCAACATTGCTGGCGTGGTGCCACGTTCATTCTCGCTGGTGGGGGGATTTGAAGGTCTAGATTTGGTAACATAGATCTTAGAAGAACAAGAGATTGTAAAACTGTTTGTTTGTTCTCAATCCTCCCTTTTTCTTCGTCGGATCAAGGTCTGGAACATCAAAACCTAGCTGTGAGCAATGGAATTAAAGAGCACTCGGTCCTAAGGGTTGCCCGAAAACTACTCAAGGAGTCGTAATAAACAAAGAGATGTCAAACAATTCCCATTCAATATTTCCAACCCCTTAATTCTAGCACTCCCATCAGTGACGTCATGTACACAAAGCACCCTCAATCAGCCCCTGGCCGTCAAAACAATCTCCCTTTCCGGCAAAACCCGCGCCTCCTGCCCAGCACTCATGACCTTTGCGTTTGCGCTCTTGGTCTTCTGAGCACTCTGTTCACCCCTCGAAGCACGAACAGCCTCCACGCCCCTCTCAAGCATCTCCTTGTTATACTCCTCTACTGCCTTCTTGATAGCGTCAATATCACTCCCATCCACGCCTGCCAGTATCTTGGCCAGCTTCATGGAGTCGATCAGCGCATTATACCCCCCCTCACCACGGAACGGCGTCATGGCATGAGCAGCATCACCAAGCAAAACGACCCGTCCGGCAGGCAGACTCTCCAGCTCAAGATCCCTCCACACATGACTCTCCTGCTTGATCCCGCTTGCGGGCGTGGCCTCGTAGATCTCCCTAAACTTGGGCGGGAGCTTCGCGACAAGGGCCAAAGCGTAATCGAGCTTCTCCTGCTGGGTAGCAGTCTGAAGCCAGTGGTTGGGGTCGGCGACGGTGGGATCGGGCTTCATGAGCATCCAGTAGTGTTTGCCGGAGACGCCGTCGGGGAGGGCGTGGTGCAGACCGCCAAACATCCAGCAGCCGAGGTCAGGGGCGACGTAAATGTAGGCTGAGTGGCCTAGCTCGAGCTGGCGCTTGAAGGCGTCGCCGTGGAGGGTCACCTCGCCAATGATAGCTGCCAGGGGGACCGTCTTGAGGAGGGCCGAGCTGGGAGTCTGGAGCAGTTGCTCGCGGACCACGCTGTTGATGCCGTCCGCTCCGACCAAAATGTCGCCCTTGGCGCTGCTGCCATCTTGGAAGAAGACTTGGACGCCCTGGTCGTTGTGGTTGATGCTCTTGACGTGCTTGTTCCACTGAATGTCGATATTGGTGGAGAGCCACCGGCGGAGACGAAGTCTCTCGGCACGAATGATCGGGTTTTCAGGGGTATCTTGAACACCCACCCTACCTTGGCGGCCGGGATAATACAAGCCAATCTGGCATGGGAGATCGATTGGTTGGAGATGGTCAGTCGCTTGCTTCATGTCCGGCATGTCATCCGGAAACGACGCCTTCAAGTCCCCGATGATGCTATGCCCGTTTTTTTAGCACTAAAACGTGGGACTCTCTGAAGAGACAGCGCACCTGTGGATTCCGATGGCCCATCCCTGAAAACGACTGTCCGCAGACTCGTCGCGCTCAAAGACCTCGAACGAGATGCCCTGCTTGCGAAGAGTCTGGGCCAGGCTGAGCCCACCCAAGCCACCGCCCACGATAAGAACATGCATTATGTTGGCTGGTAGAGATGAAAGTCGTAGCAGTGTCTATGGGGACGTAGTGGCGGCTGCGCAGCTGCGGAGATCTGACGGGATGAGCGAGAGGTCTCGGATAGGTAGACTAGGTGAGAGAGCCATGGCGACGAGCCCGCGTCCTTAATGATTCCTCACGGCATCGCTGTCAACCGTGCAGCATTCGGTGATATCCAAAGTGTTGGCTGGCGTCGCCTGGTGTTGAGAGGAGTTGAGATTGAATCACGGGCAGAGTGCCGACCGGGATTCCGATATTGCCGTTGATTGTGGAAATGCGCCGAATGACGAACGAGGCGTGGCTAGGGTTACATCACAGTCCCCTCGCGGTTCGGGTATTTCTTTTTGGCAGAAGCGTGCGGGCCCTTTAGAGGGCCGTTTACACGGACGCAATCTACTCAGCTCACTGGTCGCAGCCACATGAGGCGGTTGTATGCTACCCACCCAGTCCCCGATGTCAGTAAAGTCTGGCACCATCGAGCCACCTCGATATGAATACAACACTGACGGCGCCAGCCTTCCACTGCACATACTTGCCATTCATATTGTTAGCTGTAGTATTCTTCGCTTTCCTACATTGGCGTTGTCTGTTCATAGGGTCTTGGCTTTTTGACCCAGGTTTTGGAACCGAAGGCTGGTGTCGAACGCATGCTGTGTTGTTTGCGATCAGCGACGGTGTCTCAGGGCTTCGGCATATCTAGATGCCTAGGCATTAGCAACTCCCTATCGAGGTGCGGAACCGTTGCAATTCTTAGCGCTCTGCACATGGCGGCTTCAACGGCCCGTACTGGATCTGGCGATGTTTACATCTACACTAGGTAGTCTCGGCGCCTAGTGGAGGATGCATGCTGACTCGGGTGAGTGGAAGCCGATGGGGGGACCTGAATCTGTAGCTCTCTTTACCTAACAGAACCCGCTCTTTTACTCGCATGTTTCGGTGACCAGAAGGAGCATGGTTGGCTGTATCGATGCGGGCGCATTGGCAGGGTAGTATTATTGTGGAGACTGGAGAAAAGCAGGGTCCACACAAGAGACAGATCGGGGGAAACATGCCAGAGTGACAATTCCACCCAGAATCCAATGGGAATTCTCCACCGAGTGCCCATCGTGAAGAGGGATCGTCCTTTCTCTATACCAACCGGTTCGCGCACGTTGTCTCGCCGCGGAGGGGTCATGATAAGCTATCACAACGTCCAAGGTGAGAACCTGGAAGATAGAAAGACCATGTCAGTAGCGTGCTGCGTGTGGTAGCAAAAACAGAGCGGCCAGGCAGAGAGGCCGAATTAGCGAGTGTACCGGAGAATGGCGCCTCCCGCGATGCTACACACTGTCGCGGTGTGGTTCGTGTGGTTGACGTGTCACATCATCTCAAGCAATCGCTGCGATCAAGCTTCGGGCTTGCTCTCGAAGCACGCTAGAAGGATCAACTCAGGGGTTGGTGCACTGGCTGGTCCCCCGCAACCGCTATCGCGCGGGAAGGATTGCAAGGGGTCCATCAAGAGTCCGTCAACAAGCAAGACGAGTTTCCTACTGTATTTGGATTCCGTCTGCGGGGGGGGTTTGCTTGAACAAGGCAGGTGTAGGAGACAAGACCTAGCGTCCTTTAGGGCTATCGGAATTCCTGATCCATGGAGCCACCCCCCCCTTGTCGTGCACAATGGACTGCATTTCGTCTCCAAAGAGCGACAGACAGCCCCAATATACCTTACCTTTGCAATCACGTAGCTCCGCACCCCTCTTCAGGTGTCCTTTGCGACTCGTATGTGCATCTCGTCCTGGAAACTACCTACCTACCTTACACGGGGTATGCCATGGCACTATTTGGTCTTCATCCAGCAACATTGCAACCTGGGAACATGACGCGTAACAACTGACACCAGTGTGTTCCACCCAAAGCGCTAATGGGCCGCCACCATCGAGACGGACGGTTGAAGAGAGATAAGCCCCCGCGATAGCGTCAGTCGGCCGCCGTTGTCCCGTCTGACGCCCAGTAGTACACTAGCCAAGCTACCGCCAAGCTACTTGCCGGCGGCGCTACTCAGGGGTGTTTGCTCAACTGATTTTGCTACACCCCTCCCCGTGCATCATGGGAAACAGGTGCGTCAACCGCTGGATCATATCGTTTATTCATCTAACCAGCATCTCAACTTGCCACCAACCTCATCCCAGGGTGATGCTGGCTGATCCTGCCGAGCCACTGCCGCCGGTAGCAGTATAACCTTCCACAGCCATCACCACATAATCATGACGACCCAATCTCATGCCTCTCTTGGCCCACTCATCAAAGTGCTTCTGCGTTGTGACCGTCCCGCCCACTCGCTTTTCGGAACGCACGCTCCAGTACTGCTGGAAGGTCCTCGTGCCTTCAATGGATGGCTTGTTCACTCGGGTGCTGGTGAAAACCTCAAAAGTGCCCTCATCGATGGTGAAGTTGCCTTTGGATGTCCTGCGGGATGTCAGTCACTATGGTACCAAGAAGGAAATGATAATACTGAACCAGGGCTCATTAGGTGCGAGATCAGCGTAGGACTCAAGAATGTAATACTCGATCAAGGGGTTGCGAGTCCACCCGTAGACGGCTAGGTAGCCTGGTCCGGTGGCGTTGTATGTCCCGCTATATTTGATAGTCCTAATAAGTAAGGTAGAATATGTTAGTAAGAAGCCCTAGGGATTGAATGGTCAGGAAGCCACATGTAGCTAGGTACATACCTAGCCCCGCCACCACTCCAGCCCTTGCCACAGACGAAGCCACCTCTCGAGTTCCAGTTTGCCGAGAAGGAACCTCCCTGGCCGTTGGAACATCTAATGTTGGAGCCGCCTTCAGACCAGTTTTGGAAGTAATAGCCCTGTCGTCCTTGGACCCCTTTAGCGTCAGGTTGGGGTGCGCCCAAGCCTGCTTGAAGGAGACCCAGCGCGACGAGAAACGAGGAGATCTGAACCATTGTAACCTTTTTGTTATCAACAAAATGGGTGACCAAAAAGAGATGCCTTCTTTCAACTCCACAGGGAGAACCACGGCGTTGCTTTTATACATCAAACAGAAGTGGCCATATGCCTATCGATCTACCCACCTTCTCTCCCTCTGCCGAAGATCTCCACGATCAAAAGATTGTTCAGTACGACGACATCCAGGGTCTGCCCGACAAGATCAACATCGACTGGCTCCCTGTCGTCCGAGTCCAACATTAACAACAAGCTTTGCTCGACGGGGTCCTGCTATGCGACGTTGCAAGGCGGCTTTTAGCCTGAAGATCTCCCACTCCTGGTGGGCTGAATGAGCGTGATCAGCGGGTATCTCGGCCGGATGCGGAAATATCTGGGGTATAACATGTCAACTGCCGGTGTGCCCTATATAGGGTGCAATATCGCCATTGTCCGGGGTACATATTTCCTCCAATATATCATGCACGTCAGTTGAAAAATCTCCAGTTGATATCCGCACCAGTCATTAAGCTTTGCGCCGAGAGATTGCCGACTTGAGACCATGGGCTGGAGAAAGGTGAACGGAATGGACTTTCCGGTCGACAAGACTAGAATAGACACTTAAAAGCGGTATGCGAGCAGATATTTCCTCCTAGAAGCCCACCCTCAATACAGAATAGTTGAGACACACAAGTAGGTTAACATGCATTATAGTGTAAATAATACCTGAAGAGATTTTTATTATGCTTTCAAAGATACTTAACAACCTTTTAAAGATGGTTAATACCCTTTAAAAGATAGTAAATAGACCTTAAAAGATAATTAATGAGCCTTAAAAGATAGTTGATAGGCAATAAAAGATAGTTCATAGGCCATAAAGGACAGTTCATAGATAGACCTTGAAAGATGGTTAATAGGTCTTAAAACGAGTTAATAGGCGTTAAAGCGAGTTAATAGACCTTAAAAAATAATTAATAAACTTTAATAAATCATTAAGATGCCTTAACAGATGGTTAATAGGCCTTTAAAGATATTTAAAAGCGCTATTGATTTGGTTTTAAGGTTTGAGCTATCACTACAACTTACTTTTGCTGTATCAATTATTTTGTGGGCAGGGTGATGTCGTGTTCCCTTGAGCCTGATAGTCCAGTCTCTTCCCACAAAGTCCCGGGTTGTTAACAGTTCCATATCCTGTGGCCGACCAACAAAAGTTAGCTGGACATCTCTTTCCACAAATAGAGAGTGCAATGAAGTTTAACTCGAGCGGCATTCCATGTCAGGTTTAGCCTTTGAAGGCCACAAGGAAAGAATAGCAAAGACATTTTCACAACCAATGAAGTTGTAGAGGAGATTGTATAGATTTTCAAAGTGTCAAGACAATCAATAGCCGCCAGAAACACCAAAAAACCCTTGCGATCATGGCCATATTAATCTTGATGTGGCATGCAAGATGTCATGTTGCATTGTTTAATCGGGGTATGCAACTATTGTGTATGAATTTGCATGGGCTATGACAGAAGTGGGACAGGGTGCGGGACCAGAGGGCAGAGGGGTGGCACTATCCAAGACCCCTAACCACGTTTCTCTCGCAATCGCCAGTTCTACCACATCGAAATGTGCACCCGCTGCAGATGTACCAGAGAGATCAGTGAAGTCCATCTTGGCAACAACATGGTCAGAAACAGGCCTTGGCATTGGCACGGTACCTGGGACGCGGGAAAGGCGAGTGCGATACCTTGAGTACCCCAAAAGACTGAGGACGCTCGAAAATTTAATAGTTGCTTTCGATCCGCATTCTTGAGATTCCGCTACAAAGTCGCCATCAGCTAAGTTTTACTTGGGGCGCCATTCATGGTTAAATTAGGACCTCACCTCAACCACTTCCCTCCATCCTCACCAGAGCTACAACAATGACCCCCTCATCGAATACCAGTCCTGCTCCGTTGCCGCGACGATTATCGTGTGACCGTTGCCATTACCAGGTGAGTGCCCGGTGAAGGGTCAAGATTAACAACCCAGGCCGACCAACTGATCGTGGCCCCCCCGCAGAAGTTGAGATGTACACGAACCGGGGACAGCCAAACGAGTACTTGCAACCGCTGCATTCGACAGAACGCACAATGTGTTTACAGCTCCAGTCTTCCCAAAGGAAGACCGAGCATGTACCGTCTAGCAAACGAGCGTCGCCCTCCAGCGAGCCCGAAGACCGCCTCTTCCACTACGAGCTCCGCCAGTTCCGATGTCCCACCTGCTGCGAAGACGGATGGGGCTGAAATAGCTGAGAACAGCATGCAGATTAGCGAGTCTTCCACCGCAAACGACGACATTGATCAGCTGCTAGCTGGAGCCATTGGCCCATCCTGGATGCACCCGATGGAATGGAACGACATGCAGATCGATACATGTAGTGGAGATGAGTTCTTGAACCTGCTCCACCACAACCCTCCAACACCGCCGTCGGCCTGTTTCACAGGTTCCCAAACACCCATGTTTGAGCTCTTTGAGAGTGCCACCACCATTGCAAAGAGTGACCCCGATGTGGGAATTGCCCAGCTGTCTCAGCTAAGCACACGTCTGTATCCAATTCACAGGAGGAGTTGTAGCTTGGCAGAGACAGCAGGATCATCTGGCCAGATGAGCCCAGACATGGGCCAACAACACAAGACCCAAGCTTTGATCGATGATAATGCTTTCATAGTGGTCGCCAAATGGCTGGTTCAGGGCGTATCAACCAACATGGACATCCTCTTTCGTGCAGGCGATCACCGTCTCCACAACCCGAACATCAACCCGGCGCTTCAGTCGGAGCCCCCCACTACGGGTGAGACTCTGAACGACCTTTTTGCAGCCTCCCACCACCTTCTCGAAATCTTGAGACTGCTGCAGTCCAACGTTACAGGCGGGAACAGCAACGACATGGACGTTGCCGCAGCACCAGCGGGAGCAACCGACTTTTGGAGAAGCATCACCCCGCAGTCGACAGACAGCAACGATGGCACCGCTGGCTTTGGCGAGGGGTCCAAGCCGGTCCCGACGGCCTCGGCCCCTTCCTCCAGCCATGGCCGTCCGTCGTCGTCCAGCGAGTACTCGTCGACAGTTGTCAGACACCTGGTCATCGCCTGCCACACCCTCCTTCTCAACATCTACATTGCCGTGCTCATCGCTCTGCAGCACGACGTGGACCTCCGGAATTCCTCTCTTCCTGCCGAAGCAGCAGCCCTGGCGGACATGCGCCTGGTTCTCGTGGTCCAGCTTTGCTCTTACCTGATCAAGCGCCAGCACCAAGCCGTCGACGTTTATCTTTCTTTTCCCAACACCCTCACGCAGAATGTTGAACCGAGCAGCCCCTCTTCCAACACCGCCAGCGGCAATGGGGAGGTGAGAAGCGACCTGGAACTGGAAGTTCAGCAACGACTTTCGAAATTGAGACAGACACTCCGGATCTAAACAGGATGGAAACAATCAAGCATTTATACACCGGACACGCAGGACTTGAAACCCAGATGGAAGAGGAGCATGATTTCTCCAAGAGTCGGGGACATTGGAACACGGATGTCGGAGCTGTCTATCCTGCCCAGTCCGCCCAGTATTGTAGCATCGTTGGCGGCCAAAGGGCGTGTGTGTGTGGAATGTGATGCGCTCCACTCACGGATGGAGGCCTTGACAGAGGAAGGTCACTTTGGGTGGTGTTGTTGGTGTCTATGTACATAGAATTCTTAGACAGAGTATATTTGTCACTGTTACAAAGCATGAAGCTGGCAACCGATTGGTGCCTTGCCACTCTACCCATCCATGAAAGGTGATCTCCTGTGTCTTGGTGCTCCTGTTTCACTGATGATTCTTGGCGATAGAGTGCCATCACGGTGGATTGATGGTCCGTAGATGCAGCTCAGTTTGCATTCGACCTAAACACTCATTTGCAACATATTCGAAGCTGAGGCTTTCAAAATGAGAATGGCCAGACACGCGATTACTTCATGATGTCATCCCCCACATCATGAATTTCCTTCACGGGTATCAATATCAGCAAATACATAGCGCAATGCCCCATCTCGATGGGATTCTGAGATCGACATTTGATTTTCCTATCGTGGCAGGTGCGAATACCCCCGAACCTGACGTTGCGTATTCGGGTTGATAGCGGAGGACGGGAGAGATACATGTGCCCCATTTGGACTGCATACATATACCTGCATCTGAGGTGCATAATGCGGGGGGACAAGCAAAAGTCACCGAACTTCGGTGATGTCTTTGTCAGCAACGCCAAGTCAGCCCCTGGAACCCCTATTCTCCGGTAAACAACCCGAACAAGCAGCCGCATCAACAAGCCGAACAAAGCCACCATACCACAGACAACATTTTTCGGGTTCCGGCTTGTCGGTGCCTACGAGACAGGGGTGGGTATCTCGGAGATAAGGATATGTTCTCGAAGGGTTCGGTCGGTCGGTCAGTCGGTAGCTTGATCCTGGCTCGAGTCGGCGGAGGCTGATAGCGGGTTGTCGCCGGTGTCGACGCCCAACAATGATACCGATGCCAGGCATTCGACGGTGGGTTGGTACAGGTCTAGTAGCTATCTCCATCTTCAAGTGTTTATGAAGCCAAAGCAAATAAAACTCTGTCCCAGGCCGTCTGGACCGTGCTATACACTTTTGTCTCCGTGTCTTTGGCTTCAAACAACCGCCACCCCAACACTTCAACTCCAAACGGGCACAAAGCAACAGCTATTCACCATAGCCCACCTCCTCCACCAACATGTCTCCCCAAACACCCCATGAACCCATCGCCATCGTCGGCACAGCCTGCCGCTTCCCTGGCCCATCCACCTCACCCTCCAAGCTCTGGTCCCTCCTCGCCTCCCCAACCGACATCCAAACCGCCATCCCCCCGAGCCGCTTCAACACTGAAGCGTTCCACCACCCCGTCGGCTCACACCATGGCACCACCAACGTCCGCCACGCCTACCTCCTCACCCAGGACCTCTCCCACTTTGACGCCTCCTTCTTCAACATCTCCCCCAACGAAGCCGACAGCATCGATCCCCAGCAGCGTCTGCTCATGGAGACCGTGTATGAGGCCCTCGAGTCGGGCGGCCACAGCATCGAGGCCCTGAGGGGAAGCGACACCAGTGTCTATGTCGGCTGCATGGGTGTCGACTGGAACGACACCCTGCTCCGGGATGTCAACCAGGTGCCCACCTACTTTGCCACCGGCACGAACCGGGCCATCATTGGGAACAGGCTGAGCTTCTTCTTTGACTGGAGGGGGCCCAGCATGACGATTGACACTGCTTGCTCGAGTTCTTTGGTTGCCGTGCACCAGGTATGTTCGTTGTGATGATGGTGATTCGGATGGTTTCTAAGTGGTTCAAACAGGCTGTGATGAGCTTGAAAAGCTCTGAATCTCGCGTTGCAGTTGCGGCTGGTGGTCAGGTCATCCTGAACCCTGGTAAGCCTTGATTAGTAGAGAACAATCACTCATGAACCCGAAGCTAACAGGTGAACAGAGGCATTTGTGTTTGAGTCCAAAATGAACATGCTTTCCCCAACGGGCCGATCTCGCATGTGGTATGTATTCTTCTCAACGTGAAGGGGGACAATGACTGACAAGAAACAGGGACGCCAGTGCCGATGGTTATGCCCGAGGTGAAGGAGTCGCAGCTGTCATCCTTAAAAAGTTATCTGATGCGATAGCGGACGGTGACTACATCGAGGGCATCATCCGTGAAACCGGCGCCAACCAGGACGGACACTCTCAGGGTCTTACCGTTCCTAGCTCTGAAGCTCAGGCATCTCTCATTCGCAAAACCTACAGGAAAGCTGGCCTCGACCCAGAAAACAACCCTGCCGACCGCCCACAGTTTTTCGAGGCTCATGGCACGGGCACAAAGGCAGGCGACCCCAAGGAGGCGGCTGCCATCTATGAGTGCTTTGGCCAACACGTCAAGGCCGAGGAAACTCCGCTGTATGTCGGCTCTGTAAAGACAGTCATTGGCCACACTGAGGGTGCTGCCGGTCTCGCTGGCTTCATGAAGGGCTTGAAGAGCATCCAGGCGGGCCAAATCCCACCCAATCTGCTCTTTGAGAACCTCAACCCCGCCATCGAGCAGTACTACAAGGGTCTCACTATCCCAACCTCCCTAGCCCCGTGGCCGCAGCTTCCCGAGGGCGTTCCCCGCAGAGTCAGCGTTAATTCTTTCGGCTTTGGCGGCAGTAATGCGCATGCAATCATCGAGCAGTACATCCCGACAACCACCACTCCCGAGCCCGAGAACCAGTCGCCTGTCTTTACACCTTTTGTCTTCTCTGCCGCGTCTGAGACCTCCCTCGTGGCCCACCTCGAGGCCTATGCCGAGCATCTCAAGACAAGGAGTGACATCACAGCGAGAGACTTGGCATGGACTCTGCAGTCGCGCAGAAGTCACTTGCCTATCAAGGCTGCTTTCTCGGCCCGGTCGGTGGAGCAGCTTGTCGAAAAGCTGGATGACAAGCTCGCTGATCTCAAGCGTGCGGCTGGAACCACCGTCGGTGTTCGCTCCGCGACGGCCAAGTCCACGTATCCTACCAAGATCCTGGGTGTGTTCACTGGCCAGGGCGCCCAGTGGGCAGCCATGGGTGGTGAGCTGATCAAGTCTTCCGAGTTTGTCCGCAAGAGACTTGGAGACCTGGAGAGTGCGCTGGACACACTCCCGGCTGCTGATCGCCCGGTCTGGCGTCTGGTTGATGAGCTGCTGGCGGACTCAACCACATCTCGCATTGGTGAGGCGGAGCTTTCCCAGCCGCTGTGCACCGCTATCCAAATTGTCTTGGTCGACATGCTCAGGGAGGCTGACATCAACTTCAGTGCTGTTGTCGGTCACTCCTCGGGCGAGATTGGTGCGGCTTATGCTGCCGGCTACCTGTCCGATGTTGATGCCATTCGCGTGGCCTACTACCGCGGACAGTATGCCCGGCTTGCTGGGAACGAGGCAACCGGTCAACAAGGTGCCATGTTGGCTGTTGGCACTTCACTAGAAGATGCGAAGGATCTCTGCAACCTTCGTGCTTTTTCCGGACGTTTGGCGGTAGCTGCACACAACTCGTCAGCCAGTGTTACGCTATCCGGTGACGTCGATGCCATCATCCTTGCCAAGAAGGTGTTTGACGAAGAGAAAAAGTTTGCTCGTCTTCTCAAGGTTGATACTGCCTATCATTCCCACCACATGCTGCCTTGCGGTGACCCATACATCGCCTCTCTCCAACAGGCTGGCGTTCGTGTCAAGAGGCCGACCTGCGCCTGGTTCTCCAGTGTTATCGCAAGCGACAAGCCCCTGGAGCCTACCGAGACTCTTCAGGATGTGTACTGGCGCGATAACATGGCCAATACTGTTTTGTTTGCCGATGCTGTCAAGAACGCCATCGCTAGCGACCCACAAATTGGTCTCGCCATCGAGGTTGGCCCTCACCCCGCGCTCAAGGGCCCGGCTACTCAGAACATTGGCGACATTCGCCCTGCTCCAATCCCTTATACAGGCGTCCTCAGCCGTGGCAAGTGTGATATTGAGTCTTTCTCCGATGCCCTCGGATTTGTGTGGACTCAACTTGGTGCCCACGCCGTTGACTTTGCCTCTTATGAGAAGCTCATCTCGCCATCTACACGCCAGCCCAAGCTCGTGGTAGACCTCCCATCGTACCAGTGGAACCATACCCGCTCCCACTGGCAAGAATCGCGAAGGTCCAAGAAGATTCGGTCCCGGACGGCAGCGCCCTTCCACGAGATTCTCGGGATTCCTTGCCCCGACTCAACTGACCGTGAGAAGCGCTGGACGAATATTCTCAAGGTGTCCGAGATTTCTTGGCTAGACGGCCATCAGTTGCAGGGGCAAACTGTTTTCCCTGCTGCTGGTTACGTTGCCATGTCGATCGAGGCCGCTCGGACTCTGGCCACGGAGCAGCCGGTGTCCTTCTTTGAGCTCAACGATTTGGCCATTCCCCGCGCTATCACCTTCGAAGAGGATGTAAACTCGTCAGTTGAGACCCTCGTCACGCTTACAAACATCGCCACCAAGGGTAACGTCACCAGCGCCTCCTTCGCCGTCTACTCCTCCTCCTCGGCCGAATCGGAGCTCGAGCTCATGGCTTCGGGTTCTCTCACGATCACCTTTGGCAACTCCTCATCCGCCACCCTCGCGTCCAGCCCGCTAGCCGAAACCAACATGTCGACCGTCGACGCCGACAGGTTCTACACCTCCCTTTCCAAGCTTGGGTACGGGTATTCCGGCAGCTTCAGGGGCATGTCCTCCCTGAAACGCTCTCTCAATCGAGCTTCCACATTGGTCTCCACCTACCCCTACACCTCCCAAGACCTCACCCCATACCTCGTCCACCCCACCATGCTCGACGTCGCCTTCCAAGCCTCCATGCTCGCCTACTCGGCCCCAGGCGACGAGAGGCTCTGGTCGCTTCACGTCCCGACCGCCATCCGCTCCATCCGCGTCAACCCGGCCCTCTGCGTTTCGCCCCTGCCCGAGCACCTCCCCGTCCACGCCACCCTTGAGGAAACAAACGAGTTCTCTGCCAGCATCGATGTTTTCAACAACGCCGTCAACGACGGCGGGGCCATGATTCAGGTCGATGGGCTGACCATCAAGCCTTTTGCTCCGGCAACCGAGGCTGACGATCACCGCCTGTTTTCCTACACCAAGTGGGACGTCGCCTCACCACAGGGAGATTCCATCACCAAGGGGATCGAGCCCACACAGGACGAGGTTGAGCTGGCGGCTGTGTGTGAGAGGGTGTCGTTTTACTACTTGAGACGTTGGAAGGAGGAGCTCAGCGATGAGGAGTGGGCGAATGGCCAGGCGCATCATGCTTCGTTGAGGGATTTCATGAATCATGTGCTTGGTGAGGTGGAGAAGGGACGCCATCCTTGCGTCAAGAAGGAGTGGTCGAATGATAGTGATGAGGAGGTCAAGGACCTGATCAAGAGGTAAGTTTTTCCAACAATTTGCTCGTGCATAGAAGAAAATACTGACACAGGTGCCACAGATACTCCCACACCATCGACATCAGGCTTCTGACTGCCGTGGGTGAGAATATTCCTGCTGCTGTACGCGGTGAGACCACCATCCTTGAGCATATGCTGGTGGACAACATGCTGGATGACTTTTACAAGAAGGGTCTGGGCTTTGCTCGGTACAATTCTTTCTTGGCTTCCATGATGGAGCAAATGGTACATCGATACCCTCATGCTAAGATCCTCGAGATTGGTGAGTTCTTCCTCAAAACACCACAAATTTCCTAAATAAACTGACCGTTTTCAGGCGCTGGCACTGGCGGTGCCACCAAGTCGGTTTTGGAAAAGATTGGGGACAAAATGTCGTCATATACCTACACTGACGTGTCGGTCGGCTTCTTCGACAAGGCCGCAGAGCTGTTCCGGTCATACAGCGACAAGATGACTTTCAAGGTCCTCGACGTGGAGAAACAGCCTTCCAGCCAGGGATACGAGCCCCATTCATACGACATCGTCGTCGCCTCCAACGTCCTCCACGCCACCGCATCCCTTCAAAAGACCCTGACGCACGTCCGCCAGCTCCTCAAGCCTGGTGGCTATCTCATGCTTCTCGAGCTTACCGACAACGGCCCCATCCGCTGTGGCAACATCATGGGCGGGCTCCCTGGGTGGTGGATAGGCGCCGAGATTGACGGCCGCAGGTACGCCCCCACCATCACTCCCGCCGAATGGAACATGTACCTGCGCAAGGCCGGTTTTGCCGGCGTCGACGCCTGCACCCCCAAGGTCAACGTTCTGCCCTGGCCCTTCTCCATTATGGCCGCCCAGGCCGTCGACGACAAGGTCCAGTTCCTCCGCCGTCCTCTCGCCCGCTCCAAGACTTCGGTCAAGCTCGACAGCCTCGTCATTCTCGGAATCGGCACCATCGAGACATCCGACCTCGCCGAGGAGCTGGAGGAGCTTCTCTCCCCCTTTGCCAACCAGACCACCGTCCTCACTGGGCTGCCTACCGAGGCCCAGGCAAGAGAAATTGACCCCATGAGCACCATCATCAACCTGGCCGATCTCGACTTCCCAATCTTCAAGCAAATGACCACCGATCGTATGGAGGGCCTCCAGCGGCTGTTCGAGCTGGCAAAACACATCCTCTGGGTCACCAAAGGCGCTCAAGCCGACGAGCCATACCACGAAGCCAGTGTCGCTTTTTCGCGCGCTATCAGCCATGAGACGAGACACATTAGCCTGAACCACCTTGACCTGTCTGATCTGGGAAGAAACACCGGACGGGCTATCGCGGAGCACCTCCTTCGGCAGTGTGCGCTCGACGAGTGGGAGGACGAGAAGATCATGTGGAGCAAGGAGCCAGAGGTGTTCTTGGACAATGGGCTGCTCAAGGTTCCTCGTCTTGTGGCCAATGTTGCTCAGAATTCTCGCCTCAACTCGTCCAGGCGAAACATCACCAAGACCTTGTCTCTTGCCGAGTCAAAGTCGATCACTGTTGCCGTGTCGGCTGATGGTGTTCCCGCACTGGTTGAAGAGGTCAGGCCTGTTACCAAGGAGACCCGTCAATGTGTAAGGGTTGAGGCTTCCAGTCTGACGGCCATCAATGTGGTTATTGGAAGCTTCTTATTTGTTGGTCTGGGCAAGCATACTGTCACTAAGGAGTCAGTTATGACGCTGGCGCTGTCAAACTCGATTGAGGTCACCCCCGTGGCAACGGTATCTGTGCCACCAACCCTGTCGAGCAGTTCTGGCCTTGTGAGAGTTGTCAGCGAGCTCATTGCTGCCTCTCTACTCGAGAACATTGCTTCAGGAAGCAGTGTCTTGGTGCATGGATCAAACAAGGACCGGTATTTGATCGCCGCTCTGTCTAGCCAGGCGCAAGCCAAGAACATCCGCATCACCTGCTCATACGATGCCGAGGAGGATGAGCCGATTCCCCAAGGACTTGCGCTCAATGGCCGGTCCCCCAGACACATCATTCGCAAGAGCCTTCTGCCGGCCAAGCCAACCCATTTCCTCAATCTCACTTCGGCGGGTGGTGACCTCGGCCAGACGATTGGGCAGGTGTTGACCTCCATTGGACCCTACAAGCGCATTGAAGCGTCCGACGTTTCCCGCTTTGAGTCTTCGCTGCCGTCGACCAGTCGCGAGATTGCTGCAGCCAAGCTCCAAGCGGCTGTGGTTACTGTCACTTCCATTGCGGATGATGCCAGCGATCTTGTGGCTCCAGTCACACAGATCACAGAGGCTGGCGCCTCTCTGCTGAACCACCCAACTGCTGTCGTAAACTGGGCCGTCGATGGCAGCGTCAAGGTTGGTGTGAAGCCTCTTGACGCAACGCAGCTTTTCGGCGAGAACAAGTCCTATCTCCTCGTGGGCCTCAGTGGTCAGATCGGCCAGTCAGTCGCAGAGTGGATGGTGAAGAACGGTGCCGGGTGTGTCTGCCTGACCAGTCGTTCCCCCAAGGTCGATCTCAAGTGGCTTGAGGCTGTGCAGTCTACTGGCGCCATCGTCAAGATCTACGCCATGGATGTGACAGACAAGGCCTCTCTTGAGAAGGTGGTTGCTGATATCCGATCAACCTGCCCTCCCATTGCCGGTGTTGCCAACGGTGCCATGGTCCTCCACGACAGTCTCTTCGCCAACATGCCCCTTGAGACGATGCAAAAGGTCCTCGGCCCCAAGATTGACGGGTCCAACCATCTGGACGACATCTTTTACAACGAGGACCTCGACTTCTTCGTGCTCCTGTCTTCTTCCGCGTGCGTCATTGGCAACTCTGGCCAGTCCAACTATGCCGCTTCCAACGGCTACCTCAACAGTCTGGCTCGACAAAGGCGCAAGCGTGGCCTGGCTGCCTCCGCGTTGGATATCGGCCGCGTGGCTGGTCTTGGCTATGTTGAGACAGCTGGACAGGCTGTGATGGACCAATTAGAGCGCTTCGGGTTGATGGCTATCGCAGAGTCTGAGTTCCACCAGATGTTTGCCGAGGCCGTCCAGGCCGGTTATCCCAAGCCTGACGATAAGGATGGTATTCCGGATGCTGTCGTCACCACGGGCATCCGCACTATCCGTGACGACGAGGATATTCAAGGCCCTTGGTTCGAGAACCCTCGCTTCAGTCACTGTATTGTCGAGGCCGCCAAGGGACAATTGGATGGTCAAGATGAGAACAAGAAGACGTCTCTCCCGGTCACGGTTCAGCTGGCGGGCGCGTCGACCAAGGACGAAGCTTTGGAGATCCTGCAAGGTACGTCTTCATCCACCACTCAACTGAAATCAGCACTAACAACCTCTACAGAATGTTTCTCCTCCAAGCTCAGGGTTATCCTCCAGATTAATGACCAGGCCATTGACCCAGAGATTCCCGTCGTGGAGCTCGGTGTCGATTCTTTGGTCGCTGTTGAAGTTCGTTCTTGGTTCTTGAAAGAATTGAAGGTTGATATTCCCGTGCTCAAGGTGGTGGGAGGTTCTTCTGTTGCCGAGCTCTGCCAGCGCGCTTTGGACAAGCTTCCCGAGGAGATGCTTTCAGGCATCGGCAAGGCCGGCTCAGAGTCCAAGCCCAAGCCTGCCGCAATGAAGACGCTCCCCAAGCCCGAGCCCAAGGTCGAGTCGGCCGGGGCATCAGAGTACGACTCCACTGCCCCCAGCATGGTGACCCCGGCGGACGTCACCACTGCCCCTGGTTCTTCCACCCAGCTCTCATCCCGTTCTGCGTCTTCCGAGAACCTCGCCGCCGACGCCGCCAAGCAGGCTCCTGTTGCCGCCGCCCCACCCGCTCCTCTGAAGTTCGTCAAGAGCGAGCAGATCTCCTTCGGTCAGTCACGCTTCTGGTTCCTCCGCCTCCTCGTCGATGACCCAACGACGTTCAACGTTGCTTTCTTTTACCGAGTCACAGGGGCCCTCAGGGTCGGCAGTCTGGAGAGAGCCATTCGCGTGGTGACTGCCAGACATGAGGCTCTTCGTACCTGTTTCGTTGCGGACCAGACCGAGGCTGACCAGGCATACCAAAAGGTGATTGCTAGCTCGCCACTTCGTCTCGAGCACAAGCAAATCAGCTGCGATGAGGATGTCGCCGTTGAATACGCCAAGCTCAAGGCCCACGAGTTCGACCTTGCTGCCGGCGAGAGCATGAAGCTTGTCTTGCTTTCCAAGTCCCCAGAGGACCATTTCCTTCTCATCAACTATCATCATATTGTGATGGACGGCGTTAGTTTCCAGGTTTTCCTTTCTGATTTGGAGAAGGCATACAACAACCAGTCTCTTGGGAAGGCTCCCCGCCAGTTCCCCGACTTTTCTGCCTCGCAACGCCAGGCTTTTGAGAGCGGTGACATGGCTGCCGACCTCGACCATTGGCGCGGTATCTTTCCCGAGGGCCAACAGCCACCAGTGCTCCCTCTCCTCCCCATGGCCCGGACCAGCTCCAGACTGTCCATGCAGAACTTTGACATTCATCAGGTTGGTTGCCATCTCGAGCCAGCCTTGGCAGCGCGGATCAAGGCCGTGTCCAAGGCTCAGCGCTCGACCCCGTTCCACTTCTACCTCGCCGCGTTCAAGACCATGCTCTTCCTCTTCACGGAAGCGGATGACCTCACCATCGGCATCGCCGACGCCAACCGCACCGACAGCGATGTAATGGCCAGCATCGGCTTCTTCCTCAACCTCCTCACCCTCCGCTTCCGTCGCCAGCCAAGCCAAAAATTCTCCGACGCCATCAACGAAGCCCGCAACACGACTTACTCCGGCCTCGCCCATTCCCGTTTGCCCTTTGACGTGCTGCTCAAGGAACTCAACATTGCCCGGTCGTCTGCCCACTCCCCCTTCTTCCAGGCCTTCTTCGACTACCGCCAGGGCGCGCAGGAGAAGCACGCATGGGGCAACTGCCAATTCGAAGTGCAAGAGCTTCACCCCGGACGAACTGCTTATGATATTACCCTGGACGTGACCGACTCTGCCACTGACGCCCTCGTGATGTTCCGGGCCCAGAAGAGTTTGTATGATCAGACTGCCGCGAACCTGCTGATGGAGACGTATGTGCACCTGCTGGAGGTTCTTTCAGCCGATGTCTCGCTGTCCTTGCAGACAACGCCGCTCTTTGGGGAGAAGCAGGTTGAGGTAGCTGTCAGTGTTGGCCGTGGTGAGTACTGAGTAGTGTCTTTTTGACCTGCTTTGACGAATCAATATTGACATTGTGTAGGTCCCGCAATGGTCTCGGACTGGCCCGGAACCCTTACTCATCGCATTGATCAGGTTGCTGCCGAGAACCCAGACAAGACTGCGCTCAAGGATGGCCATGGAAACGTCTTGACGTACAGCGAGATGATCAACAGAGTCGAGGCCATTGGTGAGGCGCTGCAGGGCGCTGGTGTCAGCCAAGGTTCTCGTGTTCCAGTCTTCCAGGACGCCGCCAGTGACTGGGTTTGCTCGATGCTGGCCATCTTCCGTGTGGGAGCTATTTACGTCCCCTTCGACTTGCGCAATCCTCTCCCTCGCCTCGCCACAGTCGCGGTTGACTGCGAGCCCACTGCCATTCTTGCCGACAAGACCACCATCGACCAAGTCCCCCAGCTCAACGTCCCCACCGCCACCGCCATCAACGTCTCCGGCCTGCCACTCAACGCCTCCAAGCCCGTCCCCAACGTCGCAGATCCCAACACGCCGGCCGCTATTCTCTACACCAGCGGTTCAACCGGTCTTCCCAAGGGCATCATCGTCACCCACGCCGGTCTGCGCAACGAGATTGAGGGCTACACCAAAATGTGGAAGCTCGGCACCCAGCACACCCTCCAGCAGAGCGCGTTCACCTTCAACCACTCTTCTGATCAAATCTACACTGGCTTGGTGAACGGGGGGTCAGTCTACGTCGTTCCCTGGGCCACCAGAGGTGACCCCCTTGGCATCACAGAGATCATCAAGAGCGAGGGCATCACGTACACCAAGGCGACACCCTCCGAGTACTCCCTCTGGATGCAGTTTGGCAACGAGAATCTCCGGGACGCTAGCTGCTGGCGATTTGCATTTGGTGGTGGTGAGCCTCTGGTCAGCGGTGTGACCAAGGAATTTGCTGCTCTGGAGTTGTCTGAGCTGAAGTTCTTCAACTCGTACGGGCCGACCGAGATTTCGATTTCCTCGCACAAGATGGAGATGCCGATCCATAATGCCCAGGCCATTGAAGCCATGGGTCGGATTCCCTGCGGTTACTCATTGCCCAACTATTATACCTATATTGTTGATCAGCAGCTGAGGCCCGTTCCTGTCGGGATGCCTGGGGAGGTGTGCATTGGGGGGGCCGGTGTTTCCCTTGGCTATCTGAAGAACGATGAGTTGACCGGCAAACACTTTGTTGCCAACCCCTTCGCCACCAAGTCTGATGTCGCTAGCGGTTGGACTCGGATGTATAGGACAGGGGATATCGGGCATCTCCAAACCGACGGTGCCATGGTCTTCCACAACCGCACGGATGGGCAGATCAAAATACGCGGATTGCGTATAGAGCTCGCTGATATCGAAAACAACATTGTTGCGGCGTCTGATGGTGCTTTGAAGGAGGCAGTCGTCGCTCTCCGTGAGGGCAACCCCGACTTTCTCATTGCCCACGTTGTGTTTGCACCTCAGAGCAACGTTGCCGACAAGGAGGCCTTCTTGCAACACCTTCTTGGTCACTTGCAGATTCCTCAGTACATGGTTCCGGTCGCCGCCATTCCCCTTGACAAGCTCCCCTTGACGAACCATTCGAAGGTGGACCGCAAAGCGCTCAAAACTATCGCTCTGCCGCAGCGCACCTCCACCGCCTCCCAGGAGGAAGACACCACCGAGATGACCGAGACCATGCTTCAGCTCCGCCGTGTCTGGCAAGACGTCCTCGGCCACAACAACGACAACTCCCTCACCTTCGACATCGCCCCCTCGACAAACTTCTTCCTCGTGGGCGGAAACTCCCTGTTGGTCATCCGTCTCCAATCCCGCATCCGCCAGTCCTTCAACGTCGTCATCAAGCTGGTAGATCTCCTCGGCTCCAACACCCTCTCCGCCATGGCCCGCAAAATCGAAGAAACCCCCTCCGTCACCACTATCGACTGGGACACCGAAACCACCCCCCCAACCATCCCCTCCTTCCTCTCTTCCATCCCCCGCACCCCAGTCTCCACCTCCCCAAAAACGATCCTCCTCACCGGCGGAACAGGCTTCCTCTCCCGCACCCTCCTCCCCCTCCTCTCCTCCTCCCCATCCATCTCCCAAATCCACGTCATCTCCATCCGCAACTCCAAACCCCTCCCCTTCACCTCCTCCAAAATCATCCCCCACCCCGGCGACCTCTCCTCCCCTATGCTCGGTCTCTCAGAATCAGACTTCACCACCCTAGCCAGCAAAGTCGACGCAGTCATCCACCTCGGCGCCGTCCGCTCCTTCTGGGACAACTACCACGTCCTCCGACCATCAAACGTCCACCCGACAAAGGAGCTCGTCAAGCTCGCCAGTCCGAGACAGATCCCAATCCATTACATCTCTACCGTTGGGGTCCTGCCGGCGGGAGTGGAAAGGGAGACATCGGCAAAATATCACTTGCCGGCTGGGGATGGGTCGAATGGGTATGTAGCGTCGAGATGGGCGAGCGAGCAGATTTTGGAGAGGTCGGGGTTGCCAGTTAGGGTGTATCGTTTCTTGCCTGCGACTACTGGGGAAGACACGGAGAGGAAGGTGTTGGAGGAGTTTGGGCGGTTTGTGAAGCTGTCGGGCAAGGTTCCTGATTTTGGGGGGTGGGAGGGGAAGATTGATTTGATCGAGGCGGGGAAGGTGGCTGGGTGGTTGAGCGAGGAGGTCGAAGGTGGGGTTGAAGGAGTTGGGTATAGGCATTGGAGGAGTGAGGTTGAGCTGACGGTGAAAGAATTGAGTGAGTATATCGAGCGGAATCTGGCGCAGCCGAGAGAAAAGTATGAGACGATGGCGGGGTTGGGGTGGATCGGGTTGATCAAGAAGCTCGGGTTTGGGTATTTCTTTTCGGGGCAGAACGCGTCGGTCGGGAAGGAGAAGAGTCGGTTTGAGTCGAGGAGATGAGATTTCTGCATCATTTGTATGTTAGCTTTTCATTGGAGTTTGGGCGTTGGGGATTTGGTTTTGTTTTTTTGTTTTTGTTTTTTTCTATGGATCGTCCTTGTTCTGTCTAATCGTTAGATGTTGGGGTTGTAAAATTGAGCAGGTGCTGAAGCGCAAAGACCAAGACCAAGTGAGCTCGACCGTTGAAACGTAACAATTTTGCTGAAAGTTAAAAGACCTTGAAATAATATATTTTAGAGGGCTTAAAAACATTTCGAAGACCACAACATAATTCAGAGGCCTAAAAAATTATCGAAAAGCGTTAAAAGAAAAGTAGAAGGCCTTAAAAGATAATTTAAAGGTCATAAAGATAATTCAAGGGTCTCGAAAGATAGTTCAAATGCCTTAAAAGATAGTTGGAAGGCATTAAGGGATAGTTAAAAAGTCTTGAAAGATAGTTTAAAGGCCTTAAAAGCTAGTTTAGGAGCTTTTAATTATATTATAGAGAGGCCAAACAAATAGGTATGGATGTATGGAAGGAGACGGTGGTAAAAAAAATAGAGGGCTCCGTACATGTTCTCTATCTCCTAGTTAGTGTTTACCATCTCTTAGCAGGTCTTCCATGGCAAACCATGATGTCGCCGCCCACTCAATCACATCGTCTTAGGGCAAGGACCGGATGCTGTGTTTGCTATGGATAAAACCCCGTCAGCCCTCGGATCATTTCATCGACTTCCTCATCTTATCGACATGGAGATGCAAAAACGAGAGATACTCTACAATTCCATTACGAACGAACACGAGGTTGCAAAAGCAGGTTTCTCTCATTGCCACCACGTCGCAAGCGGGAACGTCACAGCCGCACGGGGGAAAGCTCGTTGTTACGGTATACTGTGTACCTACATTACACTTTTACTTTCCTTCCTGCTTGGCATGAGATTGTACCAGTCCCTGTGTCCTTTCCTTTATTCCTAAATGCGCGGGGAAGGATATCTCAACTTTATTCGAGGGAGTTTTTAATATCTAATATACCTGGAGTAAATTAATGTTTTATTTGCAACTATGTCCTAAACATTGAACTCATGTGCAAAGTCGGAAGCTGTATTCATGTCAGATGATACCATCAAGTCAAGACCAGGGCCGACCCAGCTCAGATCAACTCACTTCCCATGCTCCATTCCAGCTTGTGCCAGAGCGGGACGAGCCAGTGCTCGTTTCTTTTAGTTGTCCATGAGGTGGACATTAATGCTCTTCCGCTGTCTTTGACATCGCTCCTTCCCAAGCCACACCGTCTTCATGTCACACCTTCCCAAGTTCAAAGTCATGCTCCAGGTATCCTATAAATTCCCCGCTATGGGAGCACATCCAATACCCATATCTTCTTCCCTTTTCTATGTCCTGTGTTGGACGCATGTAATAAGTGGAGTGGTACTGGCATATAAATCCTTCCGTTCTTGCATTCTCCTTTTTTCTTTTTCTTTTTTTCCGCCCCTATACCACACGGTTGTATGAAGCTCGTTCTATACTTTTAAAAATACAGCGGTGTAAGGCTGTCCATCATACTTTCATCCGAAGGGAGATCAGGCAAGCGGGTCGTACAGTTCGAGTGGATTCTCCGTGTGGTATTATGGCCAACGTTCTGGTACCCTCGTCGCGGGTCTCTCGAGCGCAGCCTCTGACACCAAGGTATGTATCCTTTTTCTACCCTCCTTCAGTCAGATTTTGGAATTTTGCGCCCCTTTACACTCCTATTCTACATTCTGGACTCTGCCTGTTGATCATGACAAGTCTGATGTACTACACACTGCCTTCGTCAGAGGTGTTGCACTTCTGTTTAGAGACAATACAATACAATCCACATCATCTCGATGAACCTCCTCATTTTTTTTCTGCGTTGATGCTCAGTGGTGACATGTATTTTGGATGACAACTGCAACTTTTTTGGACTCTGGCATGCCTCCTCGGCAGCCGCCCGTCCAACACTAATCCCCGACCTCCGACAAGACCAAGATTTGGAGCAAGAGACAGCCTTCGAGTTACCTGCCAGACAGACAGCAAAGTGTAGGTGATGGCCATTGTTTCTCTTGGTTCTTTGGTTTTGGTGTTCTCATTTTTGCCGCAGTTGATGAGGTCCCAAGACGGTCGACAAGACGCCGCCCTGCGCCCCTTGACAACGCCCCCGAGCCCCTGCAAACCGCCCCTGAGCCCCGAAGAAGGACCAAGAGATCTCGCGTGCAAACGCAAGACACTCCCTCGGCCGAGCAAAACATCGCCTGCGAGCCAACAAGACCAGCCAAGAAGCAGCGTTTACAAACGCCCGATGAGGATGTTGTTGCGGATGAGTAGGAAAAGGAGGAAGAGATTGATCCCGAAAATGAAGACGCCATTAAAGGATTATTGGGTTGATGAGAATGGACTGCTTCGAGTGGGCACACAGCCAAAGCCGAGGGCGTAATCAGGGACTAAAAAGTCGCAGAGTCCACAACACGACAAAAGACAAGGGTGATAGAGTGGAAGAGAATTATCCAACAAAGGCCTGGCCATCGAGGTACCTGGAGCCTTGCCAGTGCCAGTGGGGGATGCTCGAGTGCCAGATGGTCCGGTCAGGTGAGGTGTCCAGTCAGGTGTAACAGCTCCTTTCTGTTCAGCAAACCTCCTGGAAGTGCTCATAAAGGCAAGTGCTCTGGGAGCAACCGTTTCACACGTTATGGGTCAAGGGCCTTAACGTGATTTGAAGGTTTGAGGACAGCGCAATACGAAATGAGATCCGGAAGGTGGCTTTCCCGATGGCTTTTCCACAAGCCGGTAGGGATTACTCTTTTTGTTTATTGACATTCATGATGCACAGGCTTAAGTCAACCACAGCGTATACATTTTAAGAATGTCTGCTCCACCACAGACCCCTGAAAGTCGCCAAGGCAAATAGAGATGACAGCTTAGCTTGAATGGGAATGCTTTGCGAGCTAGATTACGTTCTCCAGCCTCCCCATTGACGCGTATGCTTGAATCTATAAGAAGGTGTCTGCATCAAGACTGGAGTCCTACCATATCATTACCTTCGCATTTCAAGACGTCGTTCCAAGCCACCCTTCTTTGCCATGACTTCATGTCCAAGAATGCAACAGCCGCAGATGACATACACTGGGAGCTTGCTGTGTCTTCCCAATGAGACATTGCTCCAGATTGGTGGTCACCTGGATGTGGTTTCGGCCGCTTCATTCAGCCTTGCCTCTACTCACCTTTATAAGCTATCCCTCGGCTATCCATCATCAGAATGGTCAACAACCGCGTCCGAAACACGACATGAAACTCACGATTGGGACTGCAAACCTATCAATGAGGACCTTGGCATCATTCCTCAGGCTTGTAATAACGTCAACAGATGGAAGTTTCTCCAACTACTTCAAAAAGACCTCAAAACAACCCACACAGTCTGCACATATTGCCGCGTCTTCCATCGGCTTCTTCCCCAACCTTCCCTCTACAAAACAGCCTGCCCCTGGATGGCGCTGGGTCCCAACTATTGGAACATCGGCAAACTCACCTTTGACGATTGCTACCACGCCCTTAACGACCCAGATAGACCGATCTCCAGCCTCCGCACATCCAAAGCTTTGGGGACACAACAATTCCAGGTTTTTCTCGCCTGGCCGATCCGATCAACCAGTTCAAAAACCATCACTCTCCCAGCCACCAAAACAGCCTACCACCTCCCCTCCCTGTCTTTTGACTCAGACTGGCAGCCCCATCCTCTCAGCAACTCCTCCCCAGACTCACCGTACAGACATGTCTTCGTCAAAGCCTCCCTCTCTTGCGCCCTCGTCGAGCTCCCAAGCAGCACCAACAGCATCTATTCCTCCTTCAAACACCCCAACCTCCTAACTTACTCCACCCAACGCGTCTACCTCCCCCCCGAAGCCTTCATCCCCAACCCCAAACCAACCAGCCCCGACACCACCCCAGACGACAGTAGTTCCAACCAGCCCCCCACCCGCCACTACCTCGGCTTCCAAACCTGCCGCCACCAACCCTCCTACCGCCCTGAAACAACCAACCCCCTCCTCAACCAAGCCCCCTACAACGGGGGCCAACCCCGCGACATCCTCGAAGAAAGCCTCAACATCTTCTACAACAACGAAATGCGCTGCTGGCGCCCCCCACTTAGATCAAAATCATCATCCTCCCCTCCTCCGGGCACCAACCCCAAACCCAACACCCCCCTCCAACCTGAAACAAGCGTCTACCGCCCCCAAGTCTGCCATCTCTGCCAAACACGCTACCGAGCAGCGGTGTACACCTGGCCTACAGACCCATCCCTGCCCGCCGCCCAGGAAATCGTCGTTCACGTCTGGCAGAATCTGGGGTCTTTTCAGGAAAAACACGGTCACATGAAGGGGAACTTCCCACAGTCTTGGTTCGCCCCGGCGGGGGGAAAGATGGAAAAAGGGGAGTACACAAGGGATGCCAGGCCTGCTTTTTTGATGGGGTGGGATGCTCGTCTGGGGGCTAGGTATTGGGGTGAGTATGAGGTTTGTGATCATGACTGGGCGGTGTTGTATTTTGGGGATAGGTGGAATGATGGGGTTTGGAGGGAGTTTTGGTGGTGTGGGGGGGGGATTGCGAGGGGGGATACGAAGGATGGGGGGTGGAAGGTTTTAGGAGGGGGATTGGAGTAGGTGGGCGGATTTACCGGGTGGGGGGGGGAAAAAAATTCCCATGCGCCCCGGCCCCCGGTCCC